TAATGAAACCGTCTTTTTTTTCTTTTTCAATTCTCCAAATTGGTGCAGGATTTAACATATACATCCTCATCAAGGATTAATTTTACAATTATAAGGATTAGCATCTTTATTAGCTCATGCTAATATAATGCTCTTTATTAGTATAAAGCATTTGTTATTTAGCTTTGTTATTCATGCTAATATAAAGCATTCGTTATTTAGCGCAAATTATTAAAGTGATTTGATAGCGCATATTAGTGCAGTGGATTTTAGCATATATTGCTAATTAATGAGTCACATCTATAATTCTATGCAATTTTAGCATCCTACTCATACAAAAAAAAAAAAGAACACTTTGGATAATTTTTAAATCTCAATCATATATGTAAATTATATATGATATATGCAGATTATGCACATCATAATACAATCATTTAGGATATTCTTTTCTTTTGCCACAGAATTTTGCTTTTATTTACGATAAAAATTGGTATAAAAAATTAAAGATTATTCTAACTTTGGTAATCATCCAAAATTAATCTTCTATAATCATTACTAATAATCAATCATATAATCTATTTAAAATATTTAAAGCGATAAAATTGATTTAATTAATTTAAAACATTAATTTATCCTTTTATTATTCTTTTAGCGCTATAGAAGATCCATTTGATAAATCAAAATTATTACGACATTTTACATTACGGTATATATTATTGGATAATATCTTTCATACTGTCGAATTGGGTATTCGTGATCGAATAATTCTTGTAAATAATACATTCATAATTCCCGGAAATATTCCGAATAGTATGCCGGATGAAAATGAAAATTGTCAAACAATTAAACACATGTAATGTATTAATTTTTTGGTGACAATGTAAATCATTCATTATTTAATTCATTAATTATTATGCAAATGCATTGTTAAGTATTGTTAAAAATTTATTTTATTGTTAAAATTTTTGCTTAATTATGAAATAAAGAAATGTATAATATTCCATATGATATGATTGAATGATAATATGCTGATAAAAATTGTTTGCATAATAAAATTGATATAAAAACTATAAATGTTAATATTTGAATGAAAAAATTTTTATCAATGAATAATTTAGGATGTATGGTGAACGAAGTGCCCAATTAATTGATAAATTAATTGTTCCAATGATTGATATGAATTTTACCGTTGGTATGTAATCAATCATTCTTTATAAAATTGGTAGGAAAAATTTTAAAAAAAAAAAATCAATTTCTAAATTAAAAATAGTTAATCAGTAAGAGAATAAACTTGTTTTATTGCTAAAATTTTAACCTAATTATGAAATAAATTTTTTATAGGATAAAAATAGTTTTTAAAAAAAAAGAAAAAAAAGAATAGTTTTAAAAAAAATAAAATTCTAGTATTTTTCCCTACAAATAATTTAAACAGAAAAAAATCTATAAACTTAAACTATAAAGAAAAAATTTTAAAAATAAAACTTAATTTAAATTAAAATTAGAAATTATTGATAAAAGTTAATATTGTTATAAAGTAAAGTTAAATGATGTCATTTTTTTATTTCAGGTGAACTTATGGCTTTACGTTTAATAACATTTTGGAATACAAATGGTTTAATTTTTTCACCTCAAACAAAAAATATCATTGAAATGGCACGAAATGGAGCTGTTAATGAATTATATCAATGGTATTTAGACCAACATTTTGAATCAGTTGATACTCGGCTTGGAAATGTTTTACTTTTACTTTGCCCAATTACTGTAAGCTATTCTTTTTTAATTTTAAAAATGAATTATTTATATTTTGAATTGTTCAAATTTTTAATTGTGTATAATTTGAACTAAAAAAAAAGTTAATTTTTGCTAATTTATATTTATGGTATAAATATATAATATATATATATGCATATTTAAAATTTGTTAACTAGTTATTACTAAGCATCAATTTGATTTATTAATTAAATCAATAATAGATCATTCTTCAGGAGCAATTACGTTATATATATTTATTTATTTATTTATTTATTTATTTATTTACTTACTTATTCATTTATTTCAAATTTGTTAACTAATTATTACCAAATAACTAATTTGACTTATTGATTAAATTAATAATAGATCATTATTTAAAA